GCGGGGCCGAGCCGCCGGTAAGCAGCGTGTCGAACACCGTGGATGTGTCGGTCCCCGCGCACCGCCATGGGCTCCGCGCCTCTCGCCTTACCCGCCTGCTCCTCATTTCTTTTTCCACGCCGTTTATGTAGTCTGCCTTCTGTCTCTCTCTTGCCGCGGGCGCGTTGTATCAGCTCAGCGGGAGCCAGGGGGCAGCAGGGCAGCACTTCTGTGATCCGGCCGCCCGCGGCCTCGGCAACAGCCATATCCGTCCGCCCATTATCTATTTGTTATATATACCTTCGAGAGGGGCTGTGCGACACGGAAAAAAGAGTTAGCTGTCCCAGCTAATATACCAGTCAGCCAATATGACCGTCGCTAATATTCTCAGCAGATATGGGTAAATGTAAGTAGCTGCAGCAGCTTGTTAGTCTTGTGTCTGTCATAGCATGAGCCTTTTAGCTCCCAGAGCTCATGTACTTCACAAGTACCCGAAAACTTGGATTAGAGCTGCTACAGCCAAAAAAGGTTGATTATGAATTAGAACAGGAAACGGCAGCCGGTGACGTCCTGTGGATGCCGTTTTACTAGGCGAGAGTTTTAGCTCGCGATACGCAAACAAAGAGCCATCAGTGCGAAATGGGAAACAGCAGCACCAGCCATTCTGCGAATTGGCTGTGGAAGCGAATGAAGCCGCAAGGAGAGGCGCATAGTTTTCTGCTTTAGGCGGTATAAACAACAATATCTCACAGACCGATGCACAACCCCATCTCCACCCCACCCGTCCTGCTACGCCCCCTTCCCCCTACCCCGCGCGTCAGAGACCTTAACGCCTGTTAGTTTGTCCTGCGACAGCGGCACCCTTCTCTGACGCGGGGGGCTGTTCACCAATCACCTCCATCGCCTACCACCTCACTGAGTCAATTTCTCATTACCCACTTGCCTGACTCACGCGCTCTCTCGGTGCCGGTGATCACTCTTTTCTGTCCGTTTGCCGCGCCCGGTCTCTGGCGCGGGGCTGTCTCTCCCGGCCGGACGCTCCGCCCAGGTGAGGTCACGACGGCGACAGTGACCTCAGCGAACGCTCCCCTCTCCCCACTCCCCTTCTTGAGCGAGTGGTGAGTGATTCAGGAGCGTGTCCGGGGGCGGGCTCGGCTCGGCGGGGCACCTCGGTCACACTTGTCATCCTCTCTCTCTCTCTCCCTCCACGTGAGAGAGACTACACTGCTGCTGCGGGCGGGCTTAATTGGGAGAAGGAGAGATAGAGAGAGAAAGACAAAGAGAGGAAGGAGGGGGGTATAGGGCTAGTACAACAGTACAGATTGACCAAGTGATTTTTCAATTAGGCTTCAGCACATATTTCGCTTAAATTTAATAAACGGACGCGACATTTATGTTGGTTGCCAAGTCGCGGCAAGGCTAGAGAGGCCCGGGGGGTGCCGGCCTTTGCGGACGAACAACGAGGCTGAACTAGCGTACAGAGATGGCCCGGCCACTCGGCGCGCCGCTTGAAAGCATGTGCTTATTGCAGCATGAGCGATCGCCTGTCGGGGCGACGCGTGCAAAGGGTGTGGCGGAGGGCCGTAAACGGGTACGTACACCATGGTGGCGCACCGTCCTTCAGCGCCCTTGCTCCCTCGACTCAGCTTCCCTTAGAGTACACAAACGCGCGGCGTGTGCGTAGCCGCGTGGCGTGGCTTGGCGTGGTTTGGTTTGGCGGTGCGCGATGGCGAGAGAGAGAGAGAGCGAGAGAGAGAGAGAGAGAGAGAGAGAGAGAGAGAGAGAGAGA